GGCCCTAATTATAGCCCCGCCCACCCCGGCCCCGCCCTTTTCTTCTGCGCCCCCCTCCCGCGCCCCAGCACGCGGAGCCCTTCCTCACCAGGGTCCGCTGCTGAGGTGGTGACGAAGCTGTTGGCCGCTGTCCACTGTGCGCAGGGAACCGCCTCTACGTGCACCCCGATTCCCCCAACACCGGCGCCCACTGGATGCGCCAGGAAGTCTCCTTTGGGAAGCTGAAACTCACCAACAACAAAGGTGCCTCCAACAACGTGACCCAGGTGGGCATTCCTGCCCTCCAGGCGGCGTCCCCGTGCGATGCCGGGGCGGTGACACTGTTCTGTAAAAGGGGCAGTATGGGGCTCGAACGCAGTACCTTGCATTTGCCAGAATGGCGCTGTGCCCCCGAGCTACACTCCCGGCCCTCTTTTTTTTTTTTCTTCTTCTTTTTTCTTTTTTCCTTTGTTTCTTTTTTGAGACAAAGTCTCACTCTGTAATTCAGGCAGGCTTTGAACTCACTGTGTAGTCCAGGCTGGCCTTGTACACTCAGCGATCTTTCCTGCCTCAGCCTCCTGATTGAGGGCATGAGCCACAATTCCTAGTTTAAAGGCCTGTCTCTTCTGCTAATACTTTGGTCCGAGTGGTAGGGGTGGGAAAGGGGACAGAGGTTAGAACTGGCGTCCCAAGGAGGCTGGGGACCAGTGTTGAAGGTCCAGGACGGATTGCGCTGTTGCAGGGCGGAGGGAGGCTGAGCTGGCCCGGGGCCCTTTTGGCCTCACTCTAGGGCCCTCGTGGTGGGCGTGGAGGGACCCGCGGGGCTGGGAGTCCAGCCACAGGTCAGTGTCCCACCGTGCAGATGATCGTGCTGCAGTCCCTGCATAAGTACCAGCCCCGGCTGCACATCGTGGAGGTGACCGATGGGGAGCCCGAGGCCACCTGCCCAGCGTCCAACGCCCACATCTTCACTTTCCAAGAAACCCAGTTCATCGCCGTGACCGCCTACCAGAACGCCGAGGTGACCGGGCCGCAGGCTCCTGCGGGAGGGACTTGGGAAGTTCCTGGCCTCGGGTGACCCTGTGTTCCCTCTCTCCAGATCACGCAGCTGAAAATCGATAACAACCCCTTCGCCAAAGGATTCCGGGAAAACTTTGAGTCGTGAGTGCCGTGGGCCCTGTGTGACGAGTCGGGTCCCCACCGTGAGGAGGCGGCGGAGGGCGGGTCTGGGAAGGGACTCACAGCGCCAGGCTCCCGGTGACCACTGCCTCCTGCTCTCTTCAGCATGTACGCATCTGTGGACAGCAGCATCCCCTCCCCGCCTGGACCCAACTGTCAGCTGCTTGGGGGAGACCCTTACTCCCCTCTCCTCTCCAACCAGTACCCCGTCCCAGGCCGCTTCTACCCCGACCTGGTTGGCCAGGCCAAGGACGTGGCTTCGCAGCCTTACTGGCTGGGCGCCCCCCGGGAGCACAGCTACGAGACAGACTTCCGAGCTGTCAGCATGAAGCCCGCCTTCCTGCCCTCCGGGCCCGGGCCCGCCGTGTCCTACTACCGAGGCCAGGACGTCCTGGCCCCCGGGGCTGGCTGGCCCGTGGCCCCCCAGTACCCTCCCAAGGTGGGCCCGGCCAGCTGGTTCCGCCCCATGCGGACTCTGCCCATGGAACCCGGAGCCCCTGAGGGCCGCGGGCCGGACCAGCAGGGCTCCCCGTCTCTGTGGACTGAGGTCACCCCCCTCCGGCCAGAGCTGGGTGACTCAGGACTGGGCGAAGGAGACTCCAAGAGGAGACGAGTGTCCCCCTACCCTTCCAGTGGTGACAGCTCGTCCCCTGCAGGGGCCCCTTCTCCCTTTGAGAAGGAAGCGGAAGGGCAGTTTTATAACTACTTTGCCAACTGAGCCGAGTGCAGAGCGGATCTGTGTCCCCAGGCCACAGGCCATTGGCTCAGCCGGAGCCAGACCCAGGCCGACGCCCCCTCCCTCCACCCTTCTCCCTGTAGGGACTGTTGGGGCGGAGGGGGCCCAGGAGGATTCTGGGGTTCACTCACTGGGGGCCCTGGAACAGGGAGCCGGACTGGGTGAGGCACTGGCTCTCCTCCTCGGAGGGGTGACCGCAGGCTTGTCCTGAGCGAGCCTGCTCCAGGCCCGGGCACATGCGGACCCGGTGGCAGCCACACGGGGCGGACTTGGGCTGCGCAGGGCTGGCCTGGCCCCCGCTTCAGGGCCAAGACACTGGGGAGCCGAGGAAGGGGCTGGCGCGGGGTCTTGTTGGTTGGACTCCGGTGCTGCTTTTTCCTTTTCTGAACGGGGAGGCTATTTATTGTGTGAGAGTGGAGTCTGGATGTTATTTCTTTTGTCTCCATCACTTTCTGGAAATAAACATGAAACTGGTGCGCGTGTCCTGATTCCGGGCCGGTGTGCGGGCCTGGGGGTGGGGACTCATCTAGGGGTCCCTGGTGTCGGCTGTCACTTTGGGGGGCCCCTTCTAGAGACCAGAAGTGGGCTCGGGTCCAGAGATAAACGGAGTCTGGGTGAGGCTGCATCTCCTACGCTCAGGGCTCTCTCAAGGGTCCCGGGACAGGGTGACCCTCGTCCAGTGTGTGCGCCCCAACCTGGGCAGGAGCGGCTCGAGGACACGGCCAGGGGACCCGGCTGAAGGCTGGGGGTTTCTGTGGGAGGCAATGGCCCGGGATTCTCTGTACAGCTCCGTGTCTCCACCTCTAGGGTTGTTCAGAGACTAAAGGGCTAACTATGAACGGATCTATGTGATGTCGTTCTTGTTGCTTTGAGACAAGTTCTCACTGTGTAGTCCAGGCTGGGCTTGAACTCACTATGTGCCCTGGGCTGGCTTTGAACTTGCAGCGATCCTCCTATAATCCCAGCACTCTGGAGGCTGAGACAGGAGGATCACTGTGAGTTTGAGGCCAACCTGGGCTACATAGCGAGTTCAAGGCCTGTGTGAATTACACAGTGAGACCCTAGCTGGAAAAAACAAAACAAAACAAAACAAAAAAAAAAAACAAGAAAAGAAAAACAGGAAGAGGTTTATGGGAAACTCAGAGGCAGAAGTTGCTGTTTGCCTTGCCCCATCCGAGTGTACCCTAATTTAAGGGACAGACATCACTGCCAGCTTAGCCTGCGCCCCTCGGTAGGAGCCTGAGTGCTTCCCTGTTGAGGCAAGTGCTTCCCACTTGCCTTGTGTCCAGGGCCCTGTCCAGGGCTGCTCCAGTGAGGGGCGGCCGGGGCTCTGTGCTCTTCCGGTCTGGGGCTCAGTTTTGTGAGTGCTGTTAGGCACTCTGCCCCAGTTTACTCTGAGTCCTGGTTATTCTCTCTCCCACCCCACCCCACGCTGTCACCTTCAGGAGTTAATGGGATTAACCTGGCTGGACCTCCGACCTCCTGTAGGAAACACTCCTCCCCCAGCGTTTTAACATGATGGCTCTTGCCCTCTTCACTAGACAGGGAGGAGACGGAGTCCTGGTCCAGCTGCTTGCCACTCTCTTTTTCCAGGTTCTCTTCTGCAGATGCTGTGTTATTTGGGCTCATAAAGCTTCATGATGTTATTCTTCATGATTAAAAGGATCTTTTGCAGCATAATCCTTTATATGCCATATAATTCAAGAACTAAAAACTTGAAATCGAGGGCCAGGGATTTGGTTCAGTGGTTCCGCCACCTGCCTTGAAAGTGGAAGGGCCCGAGTCTGATCCCCAATACCAAAACAAACAAACAAACAACGCCCCAAACACAAAAAAAATTGGTATAATAATTTCTTGGGGTACTGGGGATGGAACTTGGGTCCTTGCACTTATGAGGCAGGTGGCAGCCCCACTGAGCTAAATCCTTAGCCCTCCTAATTACTAATATATTCCCCTGTCCTATTGCCTGTCTTTCTCTTATAAAAAAAGTTTGAATTTCTAATTTTGTGTGGATCTGGGCATGGTGATGTATACCTGTCATCCCAACACTCAGGAGGCTGAGGCAGGGGGATCACTGTGAATTCAAGGCCAGCCTGGAATATAGAGTGAAACCCTGTCTCAGAAAAAAAAAAAAGGCAGGGCATAGTGGCTCACACCTATAATCCCAGCATTTGGGAGGCTTAGGCAGGACTGCTGTGTGTTCGAGACCAGCCTGAGCTACAAAGTGAGACCCTGTCTCAAAAAACAACAACAAAAAAAAACAATAAAAGGGCCAGAGGTTTGGCTCAGTGGCCACCATGCCTGCCTCTAAGAGTAAGGTCCTAGTTCTGATCCCTGTTACAGAAAAAAAAAAAAAAAACCAAGAAAGTTATGTGAGGGCTAGAGGTGTATGTAGCTCAGTAGTAGTTTAATCCCAGAACTACATAAATAGATAATGAAGTGCTAACACTTTAGTGGGTTAGTTTTACTTGTTTGAACTTTATGAAAGAAGTTCTATATTCTTGATTTTTTTTTTTTTGCCCCAATACTATTTCCAAGTGTCCTCCATCGCGTGGCAGGTAATGCTGTACAGTGGTTCATCAGTTTTCATGGTTCTAAGAATATTCCAGGGTGTCTGTTTGCAGAGAGGTGGATTCACTAAGTCTGCATCTAGGAGGGTCCGGGTACTACAAAAGTGCCCCTTGGCAGGAGAAAGCTGAATCCTGTTACCAACAGACACTCCCGCCTAGGACCGCGAAGGGAGGCTGGTAAGTTCTTGCTGAACTTTCCTCCCGCAGTAAGAAGGTGGAGCCTTCGTCGTGTCTCCTAGCCTTACCCAGTCTATGAAATGAGTTTCCATATCTGTCACCCATACGGATGTTGGGCTAGTTATCTTTTTCACAGTTTTTTGAGACAGGCTGGGCTTGCACCTGTGATCCTCCTGCCTCAGCCTCCAAAATAGCTAGTATTAATAGGTATGCACCATCGCAGCCAGCCTCGGACTGCTTTTATTCATTATTTTTTAAATAAATGTTTTAGGCCAGGTATGATGGTACACACCTAGGATCCCAGCCCTCAGGAGGCTGAGGCAGGAAGATTGCGGTAAGCTTTAAGGCCAGCCTGAACTCAAAAAATAAATAAAATAAAAACCAGTCCTTCATCCTCTGAGTAGATACGTGTTTTGTCCAGCAACACCAAGCTGACAAGGACTCCAATAAGATGGGCATCAGACATTGTTATCTTTCAATATTCATACCACACCCCGTTCATGATTATTTAGTGGAGAATCTTCCACTTTATATTATGGTTTTACTCCTCATCTCTTTTTTGTTTATTCGTTTATTTCTTTTTTACGGTTTTGAGACAGGGTCTTACCGTGTAACTCAGGCTGGCCTTGAACTCACTACATAGCCCAAGATGGCTCTGCACTCATGCGACCCTCCTGAGTGCCAGAATTGCAGGTGTGTCGCTGTGCTGGAGAATTGCCTTGTTTTGCTAAAGGACATCTTCAAGGAGCTGCTGGCGCACAGAAAGCAAAGCTTTTAACACGTCTTCATCTTATATCCAGATCTGATAGTTGATCCAGTACAGAAGTCTGGGTTGGAAGCAGGACCTGGTGTCGTGTGTCTGTAATCCCAGCCCTCAGGAGGCTGAGGCAGGAAGATCGTCGTGAGTTCAAGGCCACCCTGCACTACACAGTGAGACCTGGTCTCAAAATCAATAAAATAAATTAAGTAAGTGAGCAAGTACGGTCTCCTTAAGGGAACCAAGCATCCCTGGAGGAGAGAGCCATACCCCCAACCCTGGGGACTCCAGGGACACCCTGTCGGGTGACCCGGATGTGCGCCGCCTACTAGCCGCTAAGTCCCCTCCCATGGCACGGGAGCTTTCCAGCGGCAGTCGGGCCCTGCTGTTAAACATGAACGAAGAGTCAAGGATCACCAAGTATTTGAGTAGACTCCCATCCAAAAGAGTCAAAAAAAAAAAAAAAAAAAAAAAAAAAAGAAAGAAAAAAGGAACTTTAAGAAGACAGTGATACTTCAGGCAGCAAAAAAACAAACTTCCCCTTCTAATGCATACCTATAGTTAGCAATATGTAAAAGACATTTCCATTCATAAAATGAGAGTAGGCCTCTTACAAATATTTAGAGGGTGAGAAAGAGCTTTGAGGGTTAGGTACAAGGGGAGGGCAGAGCTCAGTGGTAGAGCACTTGCCTAGCCTGTGTAGGGCCCTGAGTTCCACCTCCAGCCCTGGGGGAGAAGAGGAGTTGAGAGGGAAAGAGAGCAGGTAAAGGGTGAGAATGGCCAGGCAGGTTGGTGCCTGAAGTTCCAGCTACTTGGGAGGCTGAGGCAGGAGAATCGCTTGAGCCAGGAATTTGGGGGTGCAGCGCCATGCAAATTCACTAAGTGAAATTTGGACGTCTGCACTAAGTGTGGGGTCGGTGCCATGATCTCCCAGGAGCAGGAGACCACCAGGTGGCTAGGGGGGTGTGAGGTGACAGAGGTTGGAAATGGAGAAGCTCAAAACTCATGTGCTAGCCAGGCATGGGGGCACACACCTGCAATCCCAGTACTCTGGGAGGCCGAGGCAGGAGGAGCCCAGCCTGGGTAATTTAGAGACTTAGCAAGAACCTGTCTCAAAATTTTAAAAGGGCTGAGGAGCCGGGCGTGGTGGAGCACACCTAAAATCCCAGCACTCGGGAGGCTGAGGCAGGAGGATCGCTGCGAGTTCAAAACCAGCCTGGGCTACATAGCGAGTTCCAGGTCAGTTTCAACTACATAGTGAGACCCTGTCTCCAAAAAACCAAATAATAAAAACAAAAATGAAATTAAAAGGGCTGAGGATGTAGCTCAGAGCAGAGGTGCTGGGTTCAATCTCCAGTAGTCTAAATTAATAAGTAAATAAATCTAGGGGCCCGGGGATTTAGCTCAGTGGTTCTGCCACCTGCCTCGAAAGCATAAGGTCCCGAGTTCAATCTCTGGTACCAAAAAAACCCCCACCTACCAAATAATAAAAACAAAAATGAAATTAAAAGGGCTGAGGATGTAGCTCAGAGCAGAGGTGCTGGGTTCAATCTCCAGTAGTCTAAATTAATAAGTAAATAAATCTAGGGGCCCGGGGATTTAGCTCAGTGGTTCTGCCACCTGCCTCGAAAGCATAAGGTCCCGAGTTCAATCTCTGGTACCAAAAAAACCCCCACCTCTCCCAATAGTGAGACTCCATTTCTTATTTTTAAAAAGACAAGAAATTTCATTTTTGTTTTTTGCTATTTTTGTGTGTATGTGAGACAGGGTGTTACTACAAAGTCCAGCCTGGCCTTGCACTCACTGTGTAGCCCAGGCTGGCCTCCAACTTGCAGAGATCCTCCTGGCTCAGCCTCCCAAGTGCTGGGATTATAGGCGTGAGCCACTACATCTGACTTCCATTGTTCTTCTTATTGCCTTGTTTTCATCTTTTA